CCCCAAAACCCCAAAACCCCAAAACCCCAAAACCCCTTTAAATCTACACATATTGAATCACAGTAGTGAGGGCTGAAGGGATAGGGCATCATAGAATTTTGATATCAGGAAGAATCCCTATATCCAGCCCTTGCCAGTGATGAGAATGCTCATGCTCAGTGAAAGAAAGTTGATCTTACCCAAAACAGCGAAAATTGAGTGGAGTCAGAATAAAAACTCATTTCAGAATTCTCTCAGTTATTGCTATGCTTCCAAATATTAGCTCTGGCTAAAAATTGAGATGAAAATAGTTCCATTATTTAAACAAAGAAGACATGAGGTGGACCTTCCTATTCTCAGGTGCTCTGAGATTAGATTTTTCCTCTTCTTGGTCCATGTCATGGTTGTCTTCCTCCGACTTAATCAAATTAGCAAGTCGCATACGGTTAGCTTCAACATTTTCTTGTGCATTTTTGTCAATATCAACCATCTTCGGGTCATTACAGATTTGGTAGTACTGTTCTTTCAAGTCATCAAGATGATACTCTGCCTTCTTTAGAATCTCCTTCTTATTCAAATCAAATGGCTTATCGAGGGGAGGCCTAAAAGAATAAAAGCATAAAAGTACATTTTGATGCCAAATGAGAGCATTCCTTCGCTAATCATCTATACGTTGTATTATGTAGATACCTTATTCAGCACGAATGCGTAAGTGTCATTGCTGACAATTCGTTCATCCATCATGACATCGAGCACCTCTGGAGCTATAGGATACTTGATCCGCTTCTTCAATGGCGATAATGAGTAAAAGAAATACAGAAAATACACCCCAAAACTAATAGTCTTGGGCGTATTCTTCTGTAACCAGCAGTTTATCACAATTCGGGAGACTAAGTCTGAGAAATCAATGGGACATTCAGCTTTGGACAGACTGAAATGAATCAGATTAAGCTCCTTCTCTACAAATTTGTGTTTGAACTTAGTGAAGTCTAAGACCTCTCCATCTCCTTCCTCCTCTAAAGAGACATAGAGGTCATTAATGTCATTGAACAGGACCTTTTCTCTGAGCAGACTAAGTCTCTTCTCCACGAAGTAGAACGAGGGCAACATTTTCAATAATTTTAATAAATTTTGGGGTTTTGGGGTTTTGGGGTTTTGGGGTTTTGGGGTTTTGGGGTTTTGGGG